TTTCTATGTATAGTATTATGTCATCTGCAAATAATGATTGTTTAATTCCTTCTTTACCAATATGGATGCCTCTTATGTTTTTATCTTTTCTGATTTCTGTGGCCAGGATTTCCGGTACTATGTTGAATAAAAGTTGTGAGAATGGGCATCCTTGTTTTGTTTCTGACCTTAGGGGAAAACCTGTTAGTTTTTCACCACTATGATGGTAGCTATAGGTTTTTCATATATGGCAATAATTATATTGAGCTATGTTCCCTCTAAACCCACTTTGTTGAGCATTTTCATTGGGAATGGATGTTGGATTTTGTAAATAATTTCTCTTCATCTATTGAGATGATCATATGGTTTTTATCCTTTGTTTTGTTGATGTGATGTATGACACGGATTCATTTGTGAATATTGAACCATTCTTGCATCCCTGAAATAAATCCCACTTGATCATGGTGAATGATCCTTCTAATGTATTGTTGGACTTGGTTTGCTAATATTTTGTTGAGGATTTTTACATCTATGTTCATCAAGGATACTGGTCTGTAGTTTTCTTTGTGGAGTCTGTCTGATTTTGATATCAGGGTTATGCTGGTCTCATAGAATGAATTTGGAAGCTTTTCTTCTTCTACATTTTTTGAATAATTTGAGAATAGGTATTAACTCTTCTTCAAATTTTTGGTAAAATTCACCTGTGAAGCCATCTGGTCCCGGAGTTTTATTTTTTTAGTAGTTTTTTGATTACCAATTCACTTTGGTTACTAGTAATTGGTCTGTTCAGATTTTCTATTTCTTCCTGATTCATTTTTTGAAGATCACATGTTTCTAGGATTTATTCACTTTTTCTAGGTTGTCCAATTTGTTGGCATATAGTTTTTCATGGTATTCTTTTAGAATTCTTTGTATTTCTGTGGTGTCAGTTGTAATTTCCCCTCCTTCATTTCTGCTTTTGTTTATTTAAGTCCTTTCTCTCCCTTTCTTTCTTTCTTCTTTCTTTCTTTCCTTCTTTCTTTCTTTCTTTCTTTCTTTCTTTCTTTCTTTCTTTCTTTCTTTCTTCTTCTTTGATGAGTCTGGTTAAAGGTTTATCAATTTTGTTGATCTTTTCAAAGAACCAGCTTTTGGTTTCATTGATTTTTTCTATTGTTTTTTGTCCCTATATCATTTACTTCTGCTCTAATCTTTATTATTTCCCTCCTTCTACTCACCTTGGGCTTTACTTGTTCTTCTTTTTCCAGTTCCTTTAGCTATGAGGTTTGAGATTGTTTATTTGAGCTTTTTCTTGTTTCTTGACGTAGGCCTACACCACTATATATTTCCTTCATAGAACTGCTTACCCTGTGTTCTAAAGAGTTTAGGTCATTGTGTTTTTATTTTCATTTGTCTCTATGTATTTTTTTTAATTTCTTCTTTGATTGGTATGTTGACACATTGGTTGTTTAGTAACTTGTTTTTTAGCCTCCACAATTTTTTGCTTTTTTCCAGTTTTTTTTTCCTTGTGACTTATTTCTAGTTTCATACTGTTGTGGTCAGAAAAGATGCATGGTATGATTTCAGAATTTTTTAATTTATTGATGCTTGTTTTATGGCCTAATACGTGATGTATTCTGGAGCACGTTCTATGTGTACTTGAAAAGTATGTGTGTTTTGTTTTGTTTGATGGACTGTTCTCTATGTATCTGTTATGTTATCATTATGTAATGCCTTTCTTTGTCTGTTGTCACAGTCTTTGTTTTAAAGTCTATTTTGCCTGATATAAGCATTGCTACCCCATTTGTTGTTGTTGTTGTCTTGTTTCCATTTGCATGGTAAATATCTTTCCATCTCTTGACTTTTAGTCTATATGTGTCTTTAGGTCTAAGATGAGTCTCTTGCAGGCAGCATATAGATTTTTTTTTTAAATTCATTCTACCACCCTATGTGTTTTGATTGGAGCATTTAGGTCATTTATATCTTAAGTAATTATTGATAGGTATGTACGTATTGCCATTTTGTTCATTGATTTCTCATTGTTTTGTAGTTTTTCTCTATTCTTTTCTTCTGCTCTTTTTCACTATAACGGATGAGTTTCTGAAGTGTTACATTTGGCTCTTTCCTTTCATTTTTTATCTATTTAGCATGAGTTTTGGGTTTGTGGTTACCATGAGGTTCATATATAACATCTTAAATATATAGCAGTCTATATTAAGTTGATGATCATTTAAGTTCAAACACATTTTTAAAAGATTCTTTCTTTTTTTTTACTCCCTCCATGTTTTATGTATATGCATCATATTTCACATCCTTTTACTTACAATTTTCTTATATCTAATTATGGCCTATATAACAAATTCTTTATCCAGTCATCTGTCAGTGGGCATTTAGGGTGTTTCTGTGTCTTGTTTATTGTATATAGGGCTAGTATGAACATGTGGGTGCAAATATCTTCTAGAGTTATTGTTTCATTTGCTTTGGCCAAATTCCCAGGAGTGGAATTATTGCATCATATAGTAGGAATATTTTTAATTTTTTCAAGATCCTATACAGTTTTCCATAGTGGCTATACCAATTTACAATCTCACCAAGAGTAAACAAGGGTCCCTTTTCTTCACATCTAGTATTTGTTATCCCTTGTCTTTTTCATGATTATTTCAACAATCATGAGGTGATATCTTATTGTGGTTTTGATTTGTGTTTCTCTAACAACTAGTGAGGTTGGACATCTTTTCATGTACCTGTTGGCCTTTTGTATATCTTTGTTGGAAAAAATTCTGTTCAGGTCCTTTGCTCATCTCTTAGTTGTGTGTGTGTGTGTGTGTGTGTGTGTGTGTGTGTGTGTGTGTGGTGTTGTGTTGTGTTGTATGAGTTCTTTATATATTCTGGATATTTACCCCTTATCAGATACAAGATTTGCAAATATTTTCTCCCATTCCACAAGTTGCCTTTTCATTCTGTTGATTATTTCTTTTGCTGTGCAGAAGCTTTTTAGTTTGATGTGTGTTCGCTTGTTTATTTTTTATTATGTTGCTTGTGCTTTATGTGTCATATTCAAAAAAACATTGCCAGCTTATTCAAAAAAATACTCTTGACAAATTAGGTATAGAAGGAATGTGGCTTGAAGTAATAAAGGCTATCTATGAAAAGCCCACAGCTAACACTGTACTCAATTTTAAAAGGTTGAGTTGAGAGCTTTTTCTCTAAGATCAACAATAAGAAAAGAGTGTACTCTCTCACTGCATTTATTCAACATAGTACTGAAAATTCTAGCCAGATTGATGAGGCAATGTCATCAAAACAGTAAAATACTTAAGAAGACACCTAACAAAGGAGGTGAAAGATCTCTACTCTAAAAATTATAACACATCAATGAAAGAAAGAAATAGTGTAAGACACAAATAAATGGAAAGATATCTTGTGTTTGTGAATTAGAAGAACTAATATTCTTGTAATGTCAATACTACCAAAAAGCCATGTATAGATTCAATGCAATCCTGTAAGAATTCATTGGGGCATTTTTACAGAAGTAGAAAAATCAATTTTAGAATTTATTTGGAACCACGAATGACCCTGAATTGCCAAACAATTATGAAGAAGGATAAAACAAGAGGCATTACACTTCCTGATTTGAAGCTATAATATAAAGTCATAGTAATCAAAACAGTGTGGTACTAACATAAAAACAGGTAACTACATCAAAAGAATGGAACAGAGAACCCAGAAATAAAACCTGCCTATATAGTCAACTAATATTTGATGAGGGAGCCCCAAAACTAACACACAAAAAAAAGTTTCTTCAAGAAATCATGCTGGAAAGATTGGATATTCACATGCAATAGAATGAAATTAGACTCCTGTTTTATATCACTGACAAAAGTTAACTCAAAATAGTTTAAAATCTTCAATGTAAGATCTGAAACCATAAAACTCCTAAAAGGAAAAAATAGAAAAAAAAATTCCTTGACATAGGTTGAAATAATCAGGCAAGAAAAAGAAACAAAAGCCATCAGAATTGGAAAGGAAGAAGTAAAATGTTCCTAACTGTGGTTTTGTAAGTAAAATGACATGACTTTATGTAAAGAAAATCATAAAAACTCCACCAAAAAACTAATAAATTCAGTAAAGTTTCAGGGCACAAAGTTAACAAACAGAAATCAGTAATATTTCTATACACTAATGATGAATTATCTGGAAAAAGAATGATTCTATTTACAATATTGAATTTTGTCAAATATTTATTCCACTTGTAGTGAAATGATTGTATAATTTTGTCTTTCATTGTATTAATGTGATGGATCACATTGATTGATTTGCATATATTAAACTACCCTTGCATCCCAGGGATAAGTTCTGCTGATTGTGGGACATGATCCTTTTAACGTGCTGCTGAATTCAGTGTGCTAGCATTTTACTGAGAATATTTGCATCTATATTCATCAGGGTATTGGTTTGTTGTTCTCTTTTCTGGTGGTGTCTTTATCTGGAGTTTGTATTAAGGTAATGCTGCACTTGTTAAATGAATTTGGGAGTTTTCCTTCCTCTGATTTTTTTGGAAAAGTTTGAGAAGGTTTGGTGTTATTTCTTTTATAAATGTTTGGTAAAATTCACCAGTGAAGACATCTAGTCCTAGGTTTTTCTTTTTTGGGAGATTTTTTTTATTACTGATTCACTCTCTATAATAGTAATTGATCTCTTCAGATTTTCTATGTCTTCCTGATTCAGTTTTGGTAGTTTGTATGTTTCTAAAGTTTTTCTCCATTTTATCTAGTTATCCAGTTTGTTGGCATAAGTTGTCCATAGTGGGAAGGGTTAGTTTTAAATAATAATACACCACAGTGTCATGTTCTAGGAGTTTGCCAAAACCATCCAAGTTTGAAGAAATTAACAGATGAAAATGTCCCAAAAGGGATAGAGATAAAAGAAAAGCCAGTCAAAGCTTAGAGAAACTATTAACAAAGAAAGGGCAATTTTCTAAAATCAAAAATCACTTTCTCTACGTCTTGGAGGTGATATTCTAATTGATGTGTTGCTCCTTGCAGGTCCAGGTGGGCACTGGATACGTATGCCAACGGCACCATCCCAGACGGCTTCATCCTCTTGGGCTTCTCAGATAAGCCAAGGCTAGAAATGACCCTATTTGTGACTGTGTCTGTCTTTTACACAGTCACCCTCGTGGGCAACACCACCATCATACTCCTGTCTCACCTAGACCCCCACCTGCACACCCCCATACACTTCTTCCTCACCCACCTCTCCATCCTGGACCTCTGCCTTACCGCCAGCTGCATCCCCCAGATGGTGGTCAATTTCTGGGGCTCGGACAAGACCGTCAGCTACCTGGGATGTGCAGTCCAGCTCTACATCTTCCTGGGACTGGGAGCTGCAGAGCGTGTGCTGCTGCTGATCATGGCCTTCGATCGCTACATGGCAGTGTGCCGACCCCTGCACTATGCAGTAATCATGCACCCGCCCCTGTGTCACAAGCTGGCGTTCCTGGTCTGGGCAAGTGGGATTTTTGGCACCTTGGTGCCGTCTCCCACCACCATGAAACTCCCCCTTTGCCATCACCACCGGGTTGACGACTTTGTCTGTGAGGTCCCTGCGCTGATCCGCCTGGCCTGCAGAGACACACACATATCAACAAGCTCCAGATCTCAGTGATTGGTGCCGTCTTCCTGATGGGGCTGCTCCTGCTCATCCTTGTCTCCTACGGCCACAGAGCCCAGGCGGTGCTGGCCATCCCGTCCCTGGAGGGCAGAAGCAAGGCCTTCTGCACCTGCTTTTCCCAGCTGGTGGTCGTCTTTCTCTTCTACTGCAGTGTCACTGCCGTTTACATCCGACCCCGGAGTCACTTCTCCCAGAAGGGAGGCAAGTTCCCAAGTCTTTTCTACACTGTGGTGACCCCCACTCTCAACCCCCTCATCTACATCTAAGATTTCATTTATTTATTTGAGAGAGAGAACACAGAGGGAAAGTGAGAGGCAGAAGCAGACTCCCCACTGAGCAGGGAGCCTAATACAGGACTCGATCCCAGGACCCTGAATTCATGACCTGAGCCGAAGGCAGATATCTAATCCATTGAGCCACCCAGGTACCCCTTAAATTTTTTTAATATTTATTTATTTTTCCTAGAGAGAGAGCTAGTGGGGAGAAGGGCAGAGGGAGGGACTCTTCAAGCAGATTCTGCACTGATCACAGAGCCCGACTCTGGGCTCCATCTCACCCAACCCATGAATTCACGACCTGAGCCAAAATCAATAGTCAGATGCCCAACTGACTGAGCGACCCAGGTGCCCCCAAACATTTTCAATACTAATGAAATCCAGTTTAGGAAGTTTTCCTTTTATGGATCATGCGTTTGGTGTCATCTCTAAAATCTCACCATGTTGTAGGTCCAAGCTATAGAAAATTTCTCTTCTGTTGTTTTTTTTTTAAGTTTTGTGGTTTTCATTTTACATAAGGTTCATGATTCATTTTTTAAAAGATGTTATTATTTTTACGTAATCTCTACATCCAACATGGGGCTTGAACGTACAACCCCAAGAACAAGAGTTGCATGCTCCACTGACAGAACCAGCTAGGCATCCCATTTTAGTTGATTTTCACACAAAATGTAAGGTTGGGCAGAGATTTATTTGCTTATTTAGCTTGCGGATATCCAATTACTCCAGCATCATTTGTTGAAAAGAGCTTTGTCAGGTCCAGGTCTGGGATAGAGGAATAAAAAACAAGCAAACAAAGAAAGAGAGAACCCAGGGACCTCGCTACAGTGTCATTCCTTGTATCCTGAAGCCCCCAGCTGCTCTCTTCTCTCTTCTTTCAGATGTTTCCTAAATATTTGTTTTACATGCAGTGTACAAGGTTTCAGTCGGAAAATGTGATCCATCTTCAGAGAAGGCATTCCACGGGATTGTTTTTAGTTAAATGTTGATGTAAATAAAGAAGTCAACAAAAGCGTAAACTGCCAATGCGACCCCCTCTATCCAGCAGTAAAATGCATGTGTCTTTGGGCCTGCAGCCTCCCTGGCTCCAGTGTGGGTTACACAGCGTCAGCATCACCTGGATGGTGATATATAACAGCAAGCATATATATATGTGTGTGTATACAAATACAAAGTATTATATATAAAAAATAATAATAAAATAAATATATTTTTATATATAAAAATAAATAAAATAATAACATCTTTAAAAAATGGATCATGGACTTTATGTAAAATGAAAAACCACAAAACTTAAAAAAAACATAGGAGAACGTTTCTATAGCTTGGACCTACAGCATGGTGAGATTTTAGAGATGACACCAAAACCATCACCTGGAGCATGATAGAAGTGCAGAATCCCAGGTTCTAATCTAGACCCACTGAGCCTGATTCTGTGTTTTCTCCAGTTTGTAGGTGATATACATGAGCAGCACAGCTTGGGAAGCACAGTTCCACACATGATCACTCTGACAGGGACTCCCCCTCTTTAGAATGTGTCCTGCAAACACTTGGCATTGCCTCGGGGCCGACTGAATCATTCTCTCCCTGCAGTCTCTATGCCTGGTCTGCTCCAGTCCTGGGAACTGCTCATTCATCTCAGGAGGCTTGAGGAGTAGCCAATCACTTCACTAATGGAATGCATAACATTTCTGATGACCTATAATCTTTATAAGCAGAACTTTTTTGTCCCCTTCCTTTTGCATTCTTCATCCCACTTTTTCCTCTGCCCACTTTCTTTTTCTTCCTTTCTTCTTAAACAGCTCATCAATTTCTTTCATAACTTCTTCGTTTCTGCCATCCAAGCTCAGGGGACACAACTCTGTTTTATGTTCAACCGTAGATCCCATCTAAGTGAAGTCTTCCTTGAGGAAGTGGAAGAAAGCTCTCAAATTTTACTTGATTCTTAGAACCCCACACATTCACTTTATATGCCTGATTCCAAAATGTCATTATCATTTATTTGATCTCTGAATGCATTTACTTGGCCCCATGACCATTTGGCTGTTGATATATAATTTAGACCTTTTTGTCAGTGCCAAAGAGCATGGATTTTCTGCACTAACTCTACATTAGAGCATTTAGAGCGTACTAGTTTGCTGGGGCTGCCATAACATTAAGTTGGACAGCTTAAATGACAGAAAGTTATTTTCCACAGTTTTAGAGGCTGCAACGTCCAAAATAAACATGTCAGCAGGGCTGGCTTCTGGCAGGGCTGGTATCTCTCCTTGGCCAGTGGATAAACATCTTCTTGTGTGTGCACGTGGTTTTCCCTCTGCGCATGGATGTGCCCTAACCTCTTCTTACAAGGACACCAATCAGATTGAATTACAACCTAGCCTAATGAGCGTGCTTTAATTTAATTACCTTTTTGAAGCCTCTATCTTTAAATACAGTCACAGTCTGAGGTATTGGGGGTTGGGTCTTCAACATAGGAATTTATGGGTGGGGGGCATAAAATTCAGTCCATGACACAGAGCCATAGAGAACACAACACAGTTCAAGCATATATTCTGAACAGACAGCTATTGACAGGAAAGATAATAGCTCCTCAAAGGTTAGAAGCACATGCCCATTAGGAGAGTTCTAAGCAGGAATAAGTGAGGGCCAAGCCTGAAAACAAGCATGGTTGCCCAATCACACACATAGCCATGGATCTCTGTCTATCCCTGGTCTGAGGCAGAGGTCCTGCTGTCATGCTCAGCTGCTCACCCAACGGTCACACTGTGCTCCGTTGTTATGGAGATGGAGAATTTGATGAGACTTATCCCAATAATATGATAGTCCTATTTTCTCAGACATGTTTAGAGCTGAAAGAGACTTAAGAGCACCTCCTGAGTGCCAGGCATTATTCTAAGTGCTTTACAGATATTAACTCCTTTCTTCCTCACACACCCATTGAGCTAGATATGATGACATTTGTCGTGTTTACAGACGAGGATGCAGACACAGAGAGATAAAACAGCTTCCATGATCACACAGTCGATGAATGGTGAGGGGGCACTGGCCTGTGTGGTCAGTCCAGGGACCATAATCTTGACCCTGGGGTGCCCCATGGTGATGACAACAGGGAAGGTATGGCACACAGTTGTGCATGATGTGCGGCTCTGTCTGTGGGGCGCATCCCCATCTGTAGCAACGGGGGGATAGCTCTTAGAGGTTGGAATCAGACATTCCTCTGGCTGGAGGTGAGATGGGAAGGACAGAAGAGAGTGGGGAGTGCCTTCAACCCACCGACTTCTGGGTCCTGTGACTTTTAGTGGGACACATGGCACGAACACGCACTGTGGTGACGTGAGTGGCAAAGGTGCAAAGAGGGTCTGATCAGATCCCGGGAGTTCAAAGGTCTCCAGACGATAATCTAGTACCACCACAAAACACTTTAGAGGAAGCACAAGCAAAATACCTACTGCTGAAGGGGCGGCCTGGGCGGCTCAGTCGGTGAAGCGTCTGCCTTTGGGCTCAGGTCATGATCATCAGGGTCCCTGCTCGGCGGGGAGTCTGCTTCTCCTTCTTCCTCTGCTCCTCCCTTGCACTCAAGCGCTCTCTCTCACCCTCAGATAAATAAATAAAATCTTTTAAAAAATATATCCTGCTGAAAATAGAAGAAAATTACAGAAAATTAAGCAGCAAAGATAAACCAAGTCATACAGATAGAAAACAATGACAGACGCAGAAGACTGATTTTCATTTTACACAAAATTATTATCACTAAAGAAAACAGACCAAAACAGATGCACCTGGAAATTATTAAAACATAGACGTTCCCGAAATGAAAGAGAACTGAGTTGGAAAATTGAAAGGCAAAAAACAAAATAGAACATGCAGTATTGAAAGAGAAGTGTTGATGAAGTTACTTAGCTTCAAAGATAAAAAAAAGTAGAACCTAAAGGTATCTGGTCAGAAAAGCAATTCATCTACAGTTGAGAAAAGTCAGAACAGGCTTCAGTCTCAGCATAAAATGGTGCAACCTCTAAGGAGATTTACAGTTTTAATGTGCCGTCAAACCATACTGTTGTTGTGCAACCTAGAGGGAAAGGTCACAGACAAAAACAACCATGAAGAAATCTTGAATTTCTGTGTCATTATTTTGAAATTTTTTATATAGATGATTGACAGATAGATGATAGATAGTCAATAGATACATAGGTACATAGATAATAGGGTAAAGTAAATGTATAATGATGTGCTTAGGAACCAAGGTTTTTTATACAAAATAAAGATATAAACCCAAGAAAGTTAAGTAAGAATGCTTTAATCTTAGTTTGGAACAAGAACTATCACTACGTGGACCCACACTCCTGATTGTAACCTCTAAATACCATTTTACTCTAAAAGAAACCAAGAACTGTGAATCTTAGGTTGATTCCTATTAAACCATGGAGCATAACAGAAATATCACCACCACTCCAAGAGGCAAAAACTGATGTAGGAAAAGATGTTAGGGTTCGAAGCCAAGGGCCAAGAAAGAATTCTTGAGATGTTTTTGGTGCAAAAAGGTGATTTTATTAAAGCACGGGGCAGGAACCGTGGGCAGAAATAGCTGCCCCGGGGTCATGAGGAGTGGCCCAGTATATACTTTAAAGTTGGGAGGGGGTTGGGAGAGTTTAAGTCTCTAAGGAATTTGGAAGCAAAGTTTCCAGGACCTTGAAGGGGCTAGCTATTGTTGGGAAAAGGTCATTTATTACCGTCTAATAAAACCTTAGTCTTGTGACCCTTCAGGTGTCTATATCAGTGGGCCATATGCTTGGGGGATGATGGCCAACATGTATCTTGGGGGGTTTAGAGATAAATGGTTTGGATCCCTATAAATTGCACAGGAGACCAACAAAATTTCTGTAAATGTTCTATCAGCAGAAACACTGAAACCTTAGGAATGTAAGGAGGCAGATACAGAATGAAATGTAAGAAGGCTGTCAGTGTAAGTTTCCACAGGCAGGAAAAGGGCCGACCAAGCTATATATCTGGAAATATACATTATTCTTCAAGAAAAGGAAAGAATAATCCCAGAGGTGGTCAGAGTTTGACAAGGCTGCCATTCACATCAGGACACAGTGGGTACAGGCTCAGAGGTGGGACTGTCTCTTCCTCAGTTAGACAAGGAGGGTAGAGCTCAGCCAAAGAGGATTATTCCCAAGCCCTCACATCTAAGGAAATCTGCCCTTCAGGTTGCATGCTTGCTTGGGACCACTGACCCCTGTTTCCCTTCTGGGTTCTCTCCCTTGGAATGGGAGTGTCTCTCCTATACCTGCCCCACCATCATATCTGGGAAGCACAGGGCACAGTGTCTGGTTTCACAGGTTCACAGCTGGAGAGGATGAATCATCCCTCAAGCCTCACCAATATCTGATTTAGATGCTATCCAGATGAAATTGGATGCTGAAATGGGTTAAAACTTTGGGGGATATTGGGAGACAGTGAATATATTCTACATGTGAGAACATGAATTTGGGGAGAGACTACATTTATGAGTTGAATTGTGTTTCCCAGAATTCATATATTAAAGTTCCAATCCCGACAACCTCAGAATTATGACCTTATTTGGAAAAACATCATTGCAGTTGTAACTAATTAAGATGAGGACATACTGGTGTAAGGTGCACCTCCTTCTTTCCTACAGACATTTCTTCAAAGCTTCCATCAAATGCCTAGGTTCTGGGAGTGAATGGCACCATCATAACCCAACCATACATCTTGCTGTTATGGATTGTACGTATTTGCTGGGGCTGCCACAAATGGTATGGTCTAAACAATAGGCATCAAACCACAGTTCTGGAGGGCAGGAATCTGACCGTGATATACCAGCAGAGTTGGGTCCTCTTAGGGTTATGGCAAAGAATATGTTCCATGTCTCTCTCCTAGCTTTGGGTGGTTTGCAGGAAATCGCCATGGAATGGCTGTGTCTTTATTACATAGGGAAATTATTTTTATGATATGAGAAGTAGTGTTCCCATGTTTATGGCTATTTGTCCCAGCTAGGTTTCTTGACTAGTCCTTCCTTTTTTCATCATTTTCAATGTCACAGATCACATTTCCATGCATTCCTATGGCTGCACATGAACTCTATCTTGCCTCTACTACATAGACCAATTATAGCACCTTAATATCTAGTACAGCAAATCCTCCTATGTTGTCAAATTTCCCCTCAATACTCTCCCCCGCCATTTTCCATATACATTTTCAAAATCATCTTGCTCAAATCTATTAAAATCCCTGTTAGTATGTTAATAGCAATTGCACTGAATTTTTGTTAGTGGGTGGAAAGTGGGGGGCAGGGGACAGAACTTGCATTGTCATGCTATTGAAACTTTGAATCTTCCCATCCAGGAATAGTTCTCCATTTATTTAGGTCTTTTTTGTATAATTTTTTGTACAATTTTTTAAAGATTTACTTCAGGCACCTGATAGTTTTTATTGCTATAATTAATAGGGTTTTATTACATTTTAAATTGTAGGTGCTTAGGAATGCTGTTAGTCATTTTTATTTTTTTTAACTTTTCAGTAGGAAGTAATTCCATATGTAGAGAAAAGAGGCAAGAGTAAGAATAGTAGGTGTGCCTGGGTGGCTCACTCAGTTGAGCATCAGACTCCTCTTTATTTGGCTCAGATCATGATCTCAGGGTTGTGAGATCAAGCCCTGTGTAGGGCTCTGTGTTCAGCACACAATCTGCTTGGGATTCTCTTTTCTCTCTGCCCCTCCCTCCACTCTCATGAGTTCTCTCTCTCAAACAAATAAATCAATCTAAAAAAAAAAGAATAAAAATAGTACATAAAGCAATCCCATAACCACCCCCCAAGAATTACCATTGTCAATACTGACATTGACATTCTTGAAGAAGACAGTCCCCTCTTCAGATAGAACTTCCCTTTTTAATAGCACTTCCACATTTGGAGTTGATCCAGTGTTTCCTGATGATTAGATTCTGGACATGCATTCTATGCCAGAATTATACACAAGTGATAACAGTTCCTTCTCAAGTCACCTCACCCAAAAGCCAACATCCATTTGCCTCCATTGATATTTTTTATTAGATGGTCATGCTACTATCTAATTTCTTTTCTTTGTATAGTTACTATTTTTCTTTTGCAACTGATTAGCCAACTGTGGAGAGATACTTTCTGACTACACAAGTATCCTGCTCTTTATTTATATCTCTCTTTAGAGTTCAGCATCCATTTGCTTCATACCTGATCCAATCTTTACTATGATAGTTGAGAAGAATGATTTTTTTCCAATTGCATTCTGTTGATGTTTGTATATCAATCTTCTATCTAGAGAATTTACTCATTTTTTAGTTCTACTGGTATAGAAAGTCTCATGGATTTTTCCAAATTAATAGTCATACTGTGGCATCTTTGTTTATTCAGATATTCCTCTGGGTGATTGGTAAACTCTTAATTCAGTTTTAAGTTCCTGGTGCCCAGAAGTTTTTCTCTTTCCGCTTAACTGTGTGTTAATTACATTTTACCTGGCATGTCAAGGTGTGTGTAGCAGGGAGACAGTGTGCAATAGTTCACTTCACCAAGATGCAAAAAACAAAAATCTAGATCTGAGTTACTCCCAAGTGCTGGTCCAAGACGAGAAAAAAAAAAAAGTTTACAACAGAATATAGATCACATACTGCTTCCTTTATTGAGATAGTCTTACCAAGTGGGGAAAAAAAACAGTGTATCTAAAAAGCATACTTAGTAATGTGATTGATTTACATTCTTGCACAAGCTCCTTATATCAACAGTCCACAGGTTATGCTTTGATCAGAAGTCTGGATGGCTCACTTAACAGAGGAAGCAGTGTTTCCATCCTGAACAATCCCATGTGGTTCAAGAGTTGTCCCACGTGCAGAGAGGCAATTAATATGAACTACGGCAGATGAACTGTTGCTGAGATCAGATAAATCCAAGATAAACTCCTATAATTGAAGGCAAAATGCATTTTTAACATAATACTTTTATTTATGAGTATAGGTTCCCTCTACTATAAAATGTACCTTTGCATGATTTTCAACTTCCTGTCCTATCAGAGTTGAAATTTTAGCCATCAGAGTTAGGGTAAGATGATTTTCCCCCCATTTATTACAAGTGAATCATTTGACAAAGAGATTTTTTAAATGCATAAAGCAATTTAATTTATCTTCAGTAGTTTAAAGTAAAAAGATTTCTAGTCACCTTCTTTTAAAATTAAGGAAAAGAAGAGTCCAAGATGCCAGAGGAGTAGGAGACCTTAATTTCATCTGGTCCCAGGAATTCAGCGAGATAGCTATCAAACCATTATGAATACAACCGGAGATGGAAGGAAAGACTAGCTGCAACTACAAACAGAAAGCAATCATCTTCCACAAGGTAGGAGGTGCGGAAAAGTGAATCCAAGGCAATACATGGGAAGATTGATGGCGGGGGCAGAAAGCTTCTGTCAGCGGGCTCCCGGCAAGTGATAGAGCAGCAGAGTACAAAAGCAGAACTTTTAGAAGTGTGCCCCGCTGAGGGATATCACTCAGGCAGCTAAGCAGGAGGTGGAACCCTCACCGGGACAGTGTGGTCTCAGGATCCTGAGGGTCACAGGAAGAAGGGGGTGCCTGAGTGCAGCTGAGCTCCCAGGTATGAGAGCAGGGAAGCTGGCTGCAAAGACAGAGCTGAGGAGTGGGCTCTCAGCTCAGGGTTGCCATAACTGTGATCCACAGCCCAGTTTACACTGTGCTACACAGTTTACACTCTAAACACTGATCTTAGAGCAGGGGCCCAACAAGTAGCAGAACCAGGAGCAGTGGCACGGGAGTGAGCTGAAGCAGTCTGCTGGGTTCGGAGACTCCAAATGGGTATTGTGCCTGAGATAGAAATGCTTGGTCACAGGGCCGGGTGAGCACGGAGTGCGGCCAGAGACCAGGGAGAGAGGAGTTATTGACTGCTTTTCTCTGAGGGCTCACAGAAGACTGGAGACCCAAACTTTCGGCTCTGGTGCCAGAGATTGGGAGGCTGTCATTTTCATTCTTGTCCTGTAAACCTGCATGGAAAGCCTTCGAGGAACAAAGCCACATAGAGCAAATGGGAGCAGATTACTTAGCCTAGCCCCAGGCAAGGGCAGAGCAATTCCCCGTTGGGCAAAGACATTTGAGAATCAATGCAACAGGCACCTCCCCCAGAAGATGTGTGAGTCTGTGGAGTTTGGTACCAGCAGAGGTGGAGATGGATTGACCTGGAGGATGTGTTCAGGGCACCCCCTTAAATGAACACGTTTGCTCTGACCCTCTAGAGAGAAGTGGAAGAAGGCCATGGAACAAAAGGCAGCTCACATTAAGCCCATCCCCTGAAAAGGGGTAGGGGCAACTCCACCCAGGCAAAGACGCCTGAGAAGCCAAGCAGCAGGCCCCTCCCCCCGAAGACAGACTGGAAGAACTGGTGAATGACAAGCTTATTTCCCACAGGACTGTAAAATTCCAGTGCCAGGGGAAAATAATATAGGGAGCTCCAGGTGTTCCCTCAAGACTCGCTTATACTTCATGCTACAATTTTACATTTCCTTATTAGTTTCTTTTCTTACTCTTCTTTTCTTTAACCCTGTTCCCAATTCAAATAGATTCATATTTCCCAACCTATGATTTTAAGTCATTTCTTAACTTTTATTTTCTTTTTCACATATATGTTTTACAGATTTATACCCCATACTAGCCGATTTTTCACTCTATTCAATTTTATCTTGATATATATGTAAGTTCTGATTTCTCTGCGATTTTGGGATATAGTGTCTTCTAACACACAGATGAAAAATCAAGCAGGAACAGGCAGATCACCCTGCTGTGACCACCCTGAGGATTATAATCTCTCTCCCCAGCCCCCTCTTTTTTTTTCTCTTTTATCTTTCTTTTGTGTTGTGTTGGATTGTCGTGGCTTTGATGGTGTATCTGTGGTAGCTTTTGTACTATTTTGGATTTTTTCATAGATGCATTTTGCTTGGGTCGTGGTTGATATTTTGGACTCTGTACATTCCCTCAACAATCCCTCAACAGAATGACTAGGAGAAGGAAATCCCAACAAAGAAAAGAACCAGGGACAATGGCCTCTGTCACAGACCTAATGGACATGGATATAAGCAAGATGGCAGAGACAGACTTCAGGGTAGCAATTCTGAAAGCAATACTTAGGGTTCAGAAAAGTATTACTGACAATATAGAATCTCTAAGGGTAGAAATGAGATTGAACCAGGCCAAATTAAAAATGCTATGAATGAGATGCAGTCTAAACTAGATACTCTAACAACCAGGGTAAATGAGGCAGAGAATGAATTAGTGATCTAGAAGATAAGCTGATAGAAAGGAAGGAAGCTGAAGATGATAAGGATAAACAGCTAGAAGCCCATGAGAACAGACTTAGAGAGATCGATAACGCCATGAAATGTCCCAATGGCAGAATTATCAAGATAACTGAGGGGGTGGAGAGAGAGGACTAGAAGATATATTTGAGAAAATCATAGCTGAGAACTTCCCTAATCTGGGGAATGAAATAAACATTCGCATCCAAGAGGAAGAGAGGACCCCTCCCAAGATCAATAAAAACAGACCAACACCCCAGCATATAATTATGAAACTTGCAAATCTTAGAGCCAAGGAAACTATCCTGAGAGCAGTGAGGGAGAAGAGGTTCCTTATATACAGAGGGATGAACATCAGAATAACCTCAGACTTGACCACAGAGACCTGGCAAGCCAGAAAGGCCTGGCAAGACATATGCAGGGTACTAAACGAGAAGAACATGCAGCCAAGAATACTTTATCCAGCAAGGCTGTCATTTAGAATGGATGGAGAGATGCAGAGCTTCCACGACCGGCAGAAACTGAAAGAATATGTGACCACTAAACCGGCCCTGCAAGAAATATTAAGGGGGGTCCTATAAAAGGAAAAAGACCCCCAAGAGTGATATACAACAGAAATTTACAGGGACAATCTATAGAAACAAGAACTTCACAGGCAACATGATGACAATTAATTCATACCTTTCAATAATCACTCCAAACGTGAATGGCCTAAGTGGTCCCATAAAACGGCACAGGGTTGCAGATTGGATAAAAAGACAGGACCCATCCATATTCTGTCTACAAGAGACTCATTTTGAACCTAAAGATACATCCAAACTGAAAGTGAAGGGATGGAGATCCATCTTCCATGCCAGGGGACCTCAAAGGAAAGCTGGGGTAGCAATGCTTATATCAGACAAATTAGATTTTAAGCTAAAGTCTGTAGTTAGAGACACAGAAGGACACTATATCATTCTTAAAGGGTCTATCCAACAAGAAGATCTAACACTTGTGAGTATCTATGCCCCCAACTTGGGAGCAGCCATCTACATAAGCCAACTGTTAACCAAAATAAAGAGTCATATTAATAACAATATATTAATTGTAGGAGACCTCGATACTCCACTCTCAGCAACAGACAGATCATCTAAGCAGAAAATCAACAAGGAAACAAGAGCTTTGAATGATATACTGGACCAGATGGAGCTCACAGATATTTAAAGGACATTCCACCCTAAAACAACAGAATACTCATTCTTCTCAAGCACACATGGAACTTTCTCCAGAATAGACCACATACTGGGTCACAAATCGGGTCTCAACTGATACCAAAAGACTGAGATTATTCCCTGCATATTCTCAGACCACAATGCTTTAACACTGGAACTCCATCACAAGAAAAAATTTGGCAGAAATTCAAACACTTGGAAGCTAAAGACCACTCTGCTCAAGAATGTTTGGGTCAACCAGGAAATCAAAGAAGAACTTAAACAATTCATGGAAATCAATGAGAATGAAAACACATCGGTCCAAAACCTATGGGATACTGCAGAGGCGGTCCTAAGGGGGAAATACATAGCCATCCAAGCCTCACTCAAAAAAATAGAAAAATCCCGAATTCACCAACTAACTCTACACTTTAAAGAACTAGAGAAAAAGCAACAAACGATTCCTAAGCCATGCATTAGAAGAGAAATAATTAGAATCGAGCAGAAATCAATGAATTAGAACCCAGAAACAGTAGATCAGATCAACGAAACTAGAACTTGATTCTTTGAAAGAATTACTAAGATCGATAAACCACTGACCAGACTTATCCAAAAGAAAACAGGAAGGACCCAAATTAATAAAATTATGAATGAAAGGGGAGAGATCACAACTAACACCAAGGAAATAGAAACAATTATTAGAAATTATTATCAACAACTATATGCCAATAAACTGAGAAATCTGTATTTAATGGAGGCCTTCCTGGAAACCTACAAGCTGCCAAGACTGAAACAGGAAGAAATGGACAACCTGAATAGGCCAATAACCAGTAACGAGATTGAAGCAGTGATCCAAAACCTCCCAAAAAACAAGAGTCCAGCGCCTGACGGATTCCCTGGGGGATTCTACCAAACATTCAAAGAAGAAATAATACCTATTCTACTGAAGCTGTTTCAAAAAATAGAAACAGAAGGAAAACTTCCAAACTCATTCTATGAGGCCAGCATTACCTTAATCCCCTAACCAGGCAAAGACCCCATCAAAAAGGAGAATTTCAGACCAATATCCCTGATGAATATGGATTCCAAAATCCTCAACAAAATCCTAGCTAATAGGATCCAACAATACATTAAAAGGATCATCCATCATGACCAAGTGGGATTTATCCCCGGGTTGCAAGGGTGGTTCAACATTCGCAAAAGAATCAATGTGATAGAACACATTAATAAGCAGAGGGAGAAGAATGATATGGTCCTCTCAATTGATGCAGAAAAAGCATTTGACAAAGTACAACATCCTTTCCTGATTAAAACTCTTCAGAGTATAGGGATAGAGGGAACATCCCTCAAGTTCATAAAATCCATCTATGAAAAACCCACAGCGAATATCACCCTCAATGGGGAAAAGCTGAGAGCCTTCCCCTTAAGATCAGGAACACGTCAAGGATGACCACTCTCGCCACTATTGTTCAACATAGTACTAGAAGTCCTAGCAACAGCAATCAGACAACAAAAAGAAAGAACACGTATTCAAATTGGCAAAGAAGAAGTCAAACTCTCTCTTCTCGCAGATAACATGATACTTTATGTGGAAAATCCAAAAGACTCCACCCCCAAATTACTAGAACTCATACAGCAATTCAGTAATGTGGCAGGATACAAAATCAATGCACAGAAATCATTTGCTTTCTTATACACTAACAACGCAACTGTAGAAAGAGAAATTAGAGAAACGATTCCATTTACAATAGCACCAAAACCATAAGATACCTCGGAATAAACCTAACCAAAGAGGTAAAGGATCTATACTCTAGGAACTACAGAACACTCGTGAAAGAAATTGAAGAATACACAAAAAGATGGAAACATATTCCATGCTCATGGACCAGAAGAATAAGCATTGTTAAAATGTCTATGCTACCCAGAGCAATCTATACCTTCAATGCCATCCTAATCAAAATTCCAATGACATTTTAAAAAGTGCTGGAAGAAACAATCCTAAAATGTGTAAAGAATCAGAAAAGACCCCGAATTGCCAAGGAAATGCTGAAAAAGAAAAACAAAGTTGGGGGCATCACATTGCCCGATTTCAAGCTACATTACAAAACCATGATCACCAAGACAGCATGGTACTGGCACAAAAACAGAGATATAGACCAATGGAACAGAATAGAGAGCCCAAATATGGCCCCCCAACTCTATGGTCAAATAATCTTTGACAAAGCAGGACAAAATATGTATGCAATGGAAAAAAGACAGTCAATAAATGGTGCTGGGAAAATTGGACAGCCACATGCAGAAGAATGAAACTCAAACATTCGCTAACACCATACACAAAGATAAACTCAAAATGGAGGAAAGACCTCAGTGTGAGACGGGAATCTATCAAAATCCTAGAGGAGAACATAAGCAATTACCTCTTTGACATCGGCCACAGCAACTTCTTTCAACATACATCTCCAAAAGCTAGTGACACAAAAGCAAAAATGAACTTTTGGGACTTCATGAAGATAAAAAGCTTCTGCACAGCAAAGGAAACAGTCCACAAAACAAAGAGGCAACCCACAGAATGGGAGAAGATATTTGCAAATGACACTATAGATCAAGGGCTGGTGTCCAAGATCTATAAAGAACTTCTCAAACTCAACACCCAAAAAACAAATTATCAAGTCAAAAACTGGGCAGAAGACATGAACAGACACTCCTCCAAAGGAGACATACAAATGGCTAACAGACGCATGAAAAAATGTTCATCATCATTAGCCATCAGGGAAATTCAAATCAAAACCACATTGAGATACCACCTTACACCAGTTAGAATGGCAAAAATTGACAAGGCAGGAAACAACAAATGTTGGAGAAGTTGTGGAGAAAGGGGAACCCTCCTACACTGTTGGTGGGAATGCAAGCTGGTGCAGCCACTCTGGAAAACAGTATGCAGGTGCCTCAAAAAGTTGAAAATAGAGCTACCCTATGACCCAGCAATTGCACTCCTGGGTATTTGCCCCAAAGACATAGATGTGGTGAAAAGAACGGCCATAAGCACCCCAATGTTCATAGCAGCAATGTCCGTGATAGCCAAACTATGGAAAGAGCCGAGATGTCCTTCAACAGATGAATGGATAAAGAAGATGTGGTATATATACACAATGGAATATTAGCCATCAGAAAGGATGAATGCCCACCATTTGTATCCACATAGATGGAACTGGAGGGGATTATGTAAGTGAAATAAGTCAAGCAGAGAAAGTCAATTATCATATGGTTTCACTCATATGCGGCACATAAGGAATAGAATGGAGGACCACAGCGGAAGGGAGGGAAAACTGAATGGGAAGAAATCAGATAGGGAGACAAACCATGAAAGACTCTGGGCTCCGGGAAATAAACTGAGAGTTACAGAAAGGGGGGGGGGATGGGGTAGCCGGGTGATGGACATTAAGGAGGGCACGTGTTGTGATGAGCACTGCGTGTTATACGCAACTAATGAATCTTTGAACACTACATTGAAAAGTAATGATGTACTATATGCTGGCTAATTGAACATAATAATAATAAATAATTTAAAAAATAAAATAAATAAAATTAAGAAAAGAAACAATTTAAATGAATAAATACAAAAAGGTTTAAATTTTCTGAATTTTCAACCAGCTACAATAAACATGAATTATTTTATTAGAAAATAGAACTGTTACAAAAATTAAAAATAAATAAGTTGCTGCTACAAAACTGCAACATAATATATAGTTTACTAGTCCTGTTATAGTCACTTAGAAAGATAGGAGTAGGTGATAATGGTGATGGGGTGCAAGTAAACAGAACAAAGATGGGTAAAAAAAGATAGGAGGGAAAGGAGATTGAGGGAGAGTAAGAAGAGAAAAAGAAACACAGAAAAAGTGCTTTATTAAATGAGTTAGTTATATGAGGTCACCAAAAGGAACACGTCCTCTGACTGAGGTTCTATAATGAGAACCACCTCATTTGGATGCTTTCATTGTCCTGGTGTCTTCAAGCCACGGGTCAAGCAGATGTTCACATTCTCTCTAAAGTGCATCATCAGCAAGATTTCGCTGTCCCACCCTGGACCAGAGGCATCGTGGAGTGACGGTCTTCACCCAGGATGGAGGAGTGCTCACTCCCCCTCATCCACACCTGGACGGCAGGGAGCCGAAATGCTGGCTTCTGGCAGCCGACGTCTGTCACTACCAAAAAGGCTCAAAGACAATGGTCAACTCAGGCTTTTCTTCTTGAAGTGTGTCTAATGCACATTTTGTATCATAATTGAAATACATTTCACACAACCTGAAAGAGCAAATTGACAGCCTTATGTTATATTCTTCAAAGAACACTCTCAGACTTTTTGCCTTAAAAATCTCACCTCCTTACTTCCCTTAATCTAACACACTTCTAAGCTCTCTAATGCTACACTTCATGCCTAATGTTTTTCTATTTTTAACCTTCAAGTTTGGAAATGTTTTAACATGTAAATTTAGAGAGAATGGTAATCAATCCCTATGCCTATTACCCAAATTTGACAGTTAATAACCCATGCCCAGGGACGCCTGGGTGGCTCAGTCAGTTAAGCATCTGCCTTCAGCTCAGGTCATGATCCCAGGGTCCTGGGATCGAGTCCCATGTCATCAGGCTCCCTGCTCAGCGGGGAATTTGCTTCTCCCTCTCCCTCTGCCCCCCTCCCCTGCTCATGCTCTCTTGCTCTTGCTCACTCTTTCAATCTTTCTCTCTCAAATAAATAAATAAAATCTTTAAAAAAAATAAATTAAAAAAATAACTCATGGCCAATCTTGTTTCGTCTATCGCCCACCTACTCCTCACATCAATGAATTATTACAAACACAGCATTGCATGCATCTATAAACACGACGACAATGCCATTATCACACCTAAAAAAGTTAACAGTGATTCCTTAATATCAACATACGTCCAATCAGTGTTTAAATTTCCTCAACAGGCTGATACTTTTTTATATGAGGTTTATTTAACCAGAAGCCATATAAAGTTCACACATTGCAACTGTTTGTATGCCTGTCAAGTCTTCTTTGATATATAATTTCTTCCCTCTTGTCTCTTTTTTTTCTTAAGTTTCCCTTGCAACTTAGCTAAGAAATCATACCATTTGTCCTGCACCATTTCTAACAATCTTGATTTGGTTGTGTTATGGATTGAGAGGCCAGATCACCGGCGGCCTCACGCACTGCCATGGGTTTGTGGATCTTACTTTGAATGCGATAGGAAATCACTAGATCATGAGGGTAGGAATGGTATGATCACTTTCTCCTGTTTTAGCTACAACCTCCTCTGCCATGGTCAGTATAATAATAGATGTAGATTACTGGGTATTTACCCAAAAGATACAAATGTAGGGATCCGAAGGGGTACATGCACCCCAATGTTTATAGCAGCAATGTCCACAATAGCCAAACTGTGGAAAGAGCCAAGATGTCCATCGACAGATGAATGGATAAAGAAGCAGTGGTATATATACACAATGGAATATTATGCAGCCATCAAAAGGAATGAGATCTTGCCATTTGCAACGACGTGGATGGAACTGGAGGGTGTTATGCTGAGTGAAATAAGTCAATCAGAGAAAGACATGTATCACATGACCTCACTGATATGAGGAATTCTTAATCTCAGGAAACAAACTGAGTGTTACTGGAGTGGTTGGGGGTGGGAGGGATGGGGTGGCTGGGTGATAGACATTGGGGAGGGTATGTGCTATGGTGAGCACTGTGAATTGTGCAAGACTGTTGAATCACAGATCTGTACTTCTGCAACAAATAATGCAATATAAGTTAAAAAAAGAAGAAGAAATATAGCAGGAAGGGAAGATTGAAGGAGGGGAAATTGGAGGGGGAGACGAACCATGAGAGATGATGGACTCTGAAAAACAGACTGAGGGTTCTAGAGGGGAGGGGGTGGGGGGATGGGTTAGCCTGGTGATGGGTATTAAAGAGGCACGTTCTGAATGGAGCACTGGGTGTTATACGCAAACAATGAATCATGGTACACTACATCAAAAAAAAAAATTAGATGCAGAGTCACCTGGCAGATGCCACCAGAACAATCCAGACAAGAGGGGACAGTGGTTTTGAACCAGGGTAGGAGTCATGAAGCCAGAAGTCAAGAGGTCAAGAACCAGGCATGTTATGGAAGCAGAGCTAACAAGACATGCCAACAAGTTGGACATGTGCATAAGAAAAGACAGGTGTCAAAGATGACTTAGACTGTTTTTTTGTTGTTTTTGGCCTGAGCAAATCTCACTAAGCAACCATTGACAAAGATGAGGAAGAAACAGATTTTAGCCAGAGGGGGTATACAGGTTTGGATTTGGACATGTAAAGTTTAGCATGTTTATTAAACAGATGGAAAGGTCAGACTAGCATTTGGACGTGGAATTTATGCAGGTATAAATTGGCTGGCACAGCATATATATGGTAAAGCCAGAACACTGGATGATGTCAACACAGGATAAAGTATAGAGAAGAAAAATTAGCTCAGTGATGGAGTCCGGGGGATTCAGCATGTGCAGGTCAGGATGATAAAGAGAATCCACAAAGGAGACTGAGCAGAAATAGCAAATGAAGGAGAAGATAATCCAGTGTGGAGAAAGTGCGGCCCCTAAAGCCAAGTGAGGGAAAGTTCTTCTGTGCAGAATGTTATTGTCAGGGCTGACAAAGGTACCGGACTCATTAGGAAGCTCTTACTGGAGAGGTAATGAATACCAGGGGATATCACTAATGATGAAACTCAACACAATGCACACAAGCTGGCTATGGAATTTCTAATCTTGATGTTTCTGGAACTCTCTTTTCCCATTTAGAAATCCTAAGAACACCCCACTCTCCAAAGACCTTTGCAGTTAAGAGGAACCATGGACTGCTCTAGGTCTACAAAGTACATGTGGTCCCTTGCAAGGCCATATGCTTCTATTTGGCCACTTTCATTGGGACTTGGGCTTCTTTTGGGAATACGAATGGAAACTCTTTTCACACCCAACTGAACCCTAATTATTCCAACTGTCTGGATGAATTTAAATATGTGGTTTGTGACTCATAAAAAAGTCTGCCCAACATTTCTCCAAAGAAGACATCCAAATGGCCAACAGGCACATGAAAAAGTGCTCAACATCGCTCGGCATCAGGGAAATCCAAATCAAAACCTCAATGAGATACCACCTCACACCCGTCAGAATGGCTAAAATGAACAAGTCAGGGAACAACAGATGTTGGCGGGGATGTGGAGAAAGGGGAACCCTCCTACACTGTTGGTGGGAATGCAAGCTGGTGCAACCCCTCTGGAAAACAGTATGGAGGTTCCTCAAACAGTTGAAATTAGAGCTACCGTTCGATCCAGCAATTGCACTACTGGGTATTTACCACAAAGATACAAATGTAGGGACCCGAAGGGGTACATGTACCCCAATGTTTATAGCAGCAATGTCCACAATAGCCAAACTGTGGAAAGAGCCAAGATGCCCATCGACAGATGAATGGATAAAGAAGCAGTGGTATATATACACAATGGAATATTATGCAGCCATCAAAAGGAATGAGATCTTGCCATTTGCAATGACGTGGATGGAACTGGAGGGTGTTATGCTGAGTGAAATAAGTCAATCAGAGAAAGACATGTATCACATGACCTCACTGATATGAGGAATTCTTAATCTCAGGAAACAAACTGAGTGTTACTGGAGTGGTTGGGGGTGGGAGGGATGGGGTGGCTGGGTGATGGACATTGGGGAGGGTATGTGCTATGTTGAGCGCTGTGAATTGTGCGAGACTGTTGAATCACAGATCTGTGCTTCTGAAACAAATAATGCAACATATTTTAAGAAAAAAGAAAAAGAAGAAGATAACAGGAGAGGAAAAAAAGGGGAGTATGTCAGAGGGGGAGATGAACCAGGAGAGATGATGGACTCCGAAAAACAAACTGAGGGTTCTAGAGGGGAGGGGGGGAGGGGGATGGGTTAGCCTGGTGATGGGTATTAAAGAGGGCACATTCTGCATGGAGCACTGGGTGTTATGAACAAACAATGAATCATGGAACACTGCACCAAAAACTAATGATGTAATATATGGTGATTAACATAACAATAAAAAAATTAAAAAAAAAAAAAGTCTGCCCAACCTCAGTCTGAATACAAATGAAGCCACCCTGGGTTTTGATAACTGGTCAACTTGCCCTTAGTACTCTGACCCCTACCATGTAAATCTGTGCAGAGCACACTTACTTCAGGCTTTTTAGGCAGCAGCCCTGCTGTTTTAGCACTTCACAGAGCAGCATGACCCCTAGATCATCCAGGTCATTACTACCCAGGCTCAGCTCCCGCAGGCTCTTATTGGAAGTCAGAAGTGTAGAAAGATCCCAGCAGCAGTGTGAGGTGAGGCCACAGCCATCTAATCTGCAAGAAAGAGGGTGATTTAAAGAAAACGCCCCCTTAACTGTCCCCCGGCTCCCCCAGATCTCAGGCTGCAATGTTTCAAATGCACAAAAAGCACAGGAGTAATGAATTTAGAACAATTTTATGTGCCCATGGTTATTCTTCTCCCCTTTTCAGGTGAATGTATTTTTTTTCCAGTCGGTTGGATTGTGCAGATCAAATTAGTAATAGTAGTTTGTGAATTCGTTTTTCCCAAATTCTATGCCTCTCTCCAAATTTCCCTAAAACACAAGTGCCATATCACGCTATTCTTTTGTGGTGAAAGGAAATCCAGTATTTACACGTACACCACCAAGAAGTAGAAGTCCTCCAAGTCCCATGATCCTGTAATAAGCCAAACCTTAGCAGAACACCACCACTTCTCAGATAAAAATCAGCCCATTATCATTCCCCCCACCGTAGCCACCATGTATCTCCATCACTGTAATTAGCTAAGGGACTTACTCTAATATCTGAAGCTTGCAGTTGGGGTGCAAGAGGCCCTCACAGAGTAGCTTCACCCCCGTGTCTCCAAGAGCATTGCCCCGTAGGTAAAGGTGTGTGAGCTTCTGGTTAGTGCTGAGCACTGAGGACAGAGCTGGACAGCAACCTGATGTAAGGCCAGAATTCATCAACCTGGAGAAGGAACAAGGAAACGAGGCCTCCATGTTCAGCCTTTCTTGAACATTGCACAGCTATCTTCGCATAGGATTCTCATCTTATCTAAAAAGTGCACCCTACTCCCCCTGCTTCTGCTCTTTCTGGCTCTCTCTCTCTCTCTCTCTGACAAATAAATAAATAAAATCTTCAAAAAATAAGAATAAAAAGTGCATCCTTGGGGTGGTTGGGTGGCTCAGTTGGTGAAATGTCTGCCTTCAGCTTAGGTTGTGGTCCCAGGGTCCTGTGATTGAGCCCCACGTCAGGCTCCCTAGGGGCTCAGTGAGGGGTCTGATTCTTCCCCACTCTGCCCCCTACCCCAAGCTGGTTCTCTCCCTCTATCTCTCTCAAATAAATGAAGTCTTAAAAAAAAAAAAAAAAAAAAACAGCTGCATGCTTCTCCTTCAAGGTCAGGAGCCAGCATCTTGGATACAATCTGAGGAGAGCATGACTCCTTGTCTCTGGACCCATAAGAGAGACAAATAATCATCAGAGCAGATGCTTTGTTGGGATCGGTGGAAGAGGCAGAGCAAAAGCAAACTGATCCAGACTCCTCCCATATTCTTCTTCCTTCTTACACATATTCCCTGTGCCATGCATGTTGCTTTTTTTTTTTTTTAAGATTTTATTTGTTTATTTGACAGAGAGAGACACAGCGAGAGAGGGAACACAAGCAGGGGGAGTGGGAGAGGGAGAAGCGGGCTCCCCGCTGAGCAGTGTCACTCGTGCTTCCTAACACCACATCTTGCAGAAATGCATCCCAGATTATCCTTCACTGATAATTCCGACAACGCTGCAAAGACTTGCCTTATTGGATTCTCACATTAACTGAGCAAGGTGGTAGTGCAGCTGTAACTATTATATATCTTTTGCAGGTTAGAAATCTGAGGTTTATCCAATCCCATGTTTCTCTTAAGGTCAAAGAGCAAGTGTTGAGGGGGGAGGGACCTGGACTTAAGCCTTAGAGGGCCATCTCTCCTCTGCGGCCCTTCTCTCCATATCACTCTTCCTTCTGCAATGGAAGGGGGCTCTCAGAGCATAGAGCTCCAGATTTGCATTACACTCAGTGGGACTAAGATGTTTGGGATCTGCACCTGGGTCAAGTTGAATATATTCTCTTACCAACAGAAGCATGAGGGCTCTGGGGTAGAGAGTTGCATCCCTCTAGCATAGAAGCTCAGAGTGGGGTATATAGTACACAGAAAGCCACATATGCTAGGCCTTCAACAAAACCTTGACTTAACATCTCAGGCAATCACATGCCTTCCTGCCAGAATCCTAAACAATGACATGCTTTTAAGCTCCAACATGTCTTAGAATCAGGAAAAATAGAAACATAGAAAGTAGCACCAGCAGGTGATCAAAAGAAAACAGAAATACTTATCTACCTACTGGTTTCCATCTCACCAGTCAAGGATGAATCATAATAAAAAAATTGAATATGCAAGACAAAGAGGGGAATAAAACCCAAGATGGATGAGTAAAAAAAACAAGGCAAGGCTTCTAGTAAGAACTTTATTTCTAGCTGAGCATAATTTCAATAGATGGTCCTTAATTAATATGCAGAAGGTATTTGCAAGATTATTAGCTGTTATGAACCAATTGTTTGTGTTGTCGTAAAATCATATGTTGAAATCTTAACCCACACTGTGCTGGTAAGAGGTGCAGCCGTTAAGAGGTAATTAGGTCTTTAGGGTGGAGTCTTCATGATGGAATCAGTGCCTTGGTAAAACAGACTCCAAAGAGTTCCCTTGCCCCTATTGCCATGTGAGGACACAACAAGAAGATGGCTGTTGGAAAGCCCAGAACCAGGTGATCTAAGGCACCCTGATCTTGGCCTTCCAGCCTCCAGAACTGTGAGACATGTTTGTTGTTTGAGTCACCCAGACGATAGTATTTTTGTTGCAGCAGCCTGAGCAGACTGGATGAAGATGAAGAACAGCAAAGATGAAGACCATTCCAGAAGCCTCAAGATAGGCATCCAAAAGGAAAGGAAAAAAAATATTTTGTAAGTTACAAAATGGCAAGCTTTGCCATCATTTCCTGAAAAGGACTAGAAGGGATTATGAACAGATGTTTCACTAGCAGTTAAGCATGAAATGGCAGCAGTTACAAGCACAAGGTGGTTTTGTTAGGAATAAGTCACATCTGAATTATCAAACTGTTAATTACCATTGAGATTGAGTGATGGGTGCAGGGAGTGCATAATGAAATGTTTAGGCAATCAAACAACCAAGTTCTACCAACCAATCCACTTGATTAGAGGGATGTAACCGACATCACACATCTTGGTCTCAACCAATCCATTCGACCCAGTTCTACATTCACTGAGCCCAGATATCTTGCCATGTACTATATTGTTGAATTATTGTGGGTTGTTTTTTTTTTTAACTTATTTACCAATGATATACCTTATGTTATAAAAATGTGTCATAAAGAAAATTGAGGAAGAAGATTTAATTTTTGAGTGTTTACTATATGGTTGGCTGAAATAATGACTTAGAATAGGATTATCTCATAGAATTACTACAAAACCAAGATGTAGGTATCATTTTGTCCTTATTTTGAAATGGAAAAGCTGAGACTCAGGGAAATTACTTGAAAAATAAGAAGGAGCTTCCTAGATGGACTATGAGGGTGGGAGAGTATTTTGCATACCAGGCAAAAGGAAAGTGGTAAGCAAGGGAAGGAAGAGTAAAAGAGCTCACATTCTTAGGACTAAAAACCTATTCAATACGACTCAGAATGGAGTGAAGGGTGTTGCAGAAAATGACCTAGAGCTGATCAGGGACAGCTTTGTGTACTATGCTAAGACACAGCAACTACACTCTGACTTCAAAGAACTTTTGAAGTCGTGTGTGTGTGTGTGTGTGTGTGTGTGTGTGTGTGTGTGTGTTTTAATTTGACAGAGAGAGACAGCGAGAGAGGAAACACAAGCAGGGGGAGTGTGAGAGGGAGAAGCAGACTGCTGAGCAGGGAGCCCGATGCGGGGCTCGATCCCAGGACCCTGAGATGATGACCTGAGCCGAAGGCAGACTCTTAATCGACTGAGCCACCCAGGCACACCCTTTTGAAGTTTTTTGAGAAAAAGCTCACTATTTTCGAATCTGCATTTTAGAAAACTCCTCTGGTGTTTTGCAAAAGAAACAAGGGGGTAGAGGGAACTGAAAGTAAAGACAATCTAGGACTTTCCTCTGTTTACTGGCTAATCCTCCTCCTGGAAAGTCCCATTATCAACAAGGTAGTAAAGAAAGGGCAAGAAGGGGACAAAGGATGAGGGTGGAGAGTAAGTTATAAGAATTAAAGAATTTTGCAAATGCGCATTGTGTGGCACTTATGTAATATGGGGGGGGGGGTGGAGTGCAAAATGCAACCAAAAATAGAGGTCTAAAGTTCAGGACATTTGGCCATACCTAACAAAATATAAAATGCCTAAAAGTGTTACTTCATTAATTACATTTATAGATATCCATCTCAAAAGAAATATCCACACCTAAATAAAGTTAGATATACAAAATATGTTTTTTCATAGTTACTTGTAATATTAAAAAAGGAGAAATTCATCCAAAGGTGTAGCATTCTGTGAGAACCTAAATAAATTACTGTAATGCATACTATGTAATATTATGCCCAAATCTGTAGATCTGTATATACCAGCATGGTAATAAATTCATGATAAATTTAAGAAGAAATCGTAGGACTCCAAAAAAATTGCTGGAACTAATATACAAATTTAGTGAAGTCACTATATACAAAATCAATGTACAGAAGTCTGTTGCTTTTCTATATATCAATAATGAAGTAGCAGAAAAAGAAATCAAGGAATTGATCCCATTTATAATTGCACCAAAAGCAATAAGATACCTAGGAATAAACCTAACCAAAGAGGTAAAAAATCTGTACTCTGAAAACTATAGAACACTTACAAAAGAAATTGAAGAGGACACAAAGAAATGGGGAAAAAATTCCATGCTAGTGGGTTGGAAGAACAAACATTGCTAAAATATCTATACTACCCAAAGCAATGTATACATTTAATTCAACCCCTATCAAAATAACACCAGCATTCTCCAGAGAGCTATAACAAACAATTCTAAAATTTGCATGGAGCCAGAAAAAACTCCGAATAGACAAAGCAATCCTGAGAAAGAAAAGCAAAGCTTGAAGCATCACAATTCTGGACTCCAAGATATATTACAAAGCTGTAGTCATCAAGACAGTACAATACTCACACAAAAAAAGGTACATAGATCCATGGAACAGAAATGGACCCTCACCTCTATGGTCAACTAATCTTCAACAAACAGGAAAGGATATCCAATGGAAAAAAGACAGTCTCTTCAACAAATGGTGTTCAGAAAATTGGACAGCCACATGCAGAAGAATGAAACTGGACCATTCTCTTACACCACACACAAAGATAAACTCAAAATGGATGAAAGACCTAAAAGTGAGGCAGGGAACCACCAAAATCCTAGAAAGGAAATCAGGCAGCAACTTATTTGACCTCGGCCATAGCAACTTCTTATTAGACACATCTCCAGAGGCAGGGAAACAAAGACAAAAATGAACTACTGGGATTTCATCAAGATAAAAATCTTCTGCAGAGTGAAGGAAACAATCTACAAAACTAAAAGACAACCTATGGAATGGGATAAGATTTGTAAATAATATATCTGATAAAGAGTTAGTATCCAAAATCTGTTAAGAACTTATCAAACTCAACACCCAAAAAACAAATAACCCAGTTAAAAAATGGGCAGAAGACATGAATAGACATTTTTCCAAAGAAGACATCCAGTTGGCCAACAGACACATGAAAAGATGTTCAATATTACTCACCTTCAGGGAATTACAAATCAAAACCATGATGAGATACCACCTCACACCTGTCAGAATGGCTAAAAAACACAGGAATCAACAGATGTTGGCAAGGATGTGGAGAAAGGGGAGCCCTCTTATGCTGTTGGTAGGAATGC